GTGTCACCCTCCAGATGTTAAAAAAGGATTTCTCCAAGGAGAAGCCTTGAGAATCCTACGAAAAAACTCCTCAGAAACAGCCTTTGAGAAAAATAATTCAAATTTAAAAAATAACACTTGATGGATGGGGGCTATCCACAATCTTTGATAGAAAACATACTATCAGAAATAAAATTCACAAAAGGGAGTCTAAACTGCTAAAACAAAACAACAACGAGGAAAAAGAATACCACACAATACCAGCCCTCAGTGTCTACTATAAAGGAAGCTTGAATGAAAAAATGGAATCTTATACAAAACCAACGGTAACCTCAATAAATTTTTAAAGAACCACCAATCATTTCCTTACAAAAAAGGGAAATCATTAAAGGACATGCTCGTAAGAGCCAAAAAAAAAGGTTAAGGGTTCCACGCCCGTATAGATGTACGGCCTGTCACCCTTTTGTACTTTCTCGCACAACAGGTTTGTGAGTATTTTAGCAATAATTCCAGCTGGCTGTGTTTTATATAACAAGTGTAGTCAACTGTCTCGTTAGTAGTTAGTGCCTATCTATGTAATAAAATAGGGTGACCCACCCCCTAAGGGTAGCAGAAAATTGCACGACCCACCCCTTGCACAAGGCTCAAAACCTCATGACCCACCCCTTCTCTGCTCCGGCCCACCCCCCTCTACACTTTTTGACCAGTCCCTAGGGGGCAAGTTCAAGCCCCACGCCATACAAACGCCAGGAAAATTCGCCGAATTTGCGAAGATATATCCTCGTTAGTTTTTAACAAATCACGTTCAAACTTGCCATCTTTACTTACTTAAGACGTTCTTTTTTGTCGTTCTTTCCAGCCACGCAACCCTAGAGTCATTAAACGTTTCTGGGAATCTGCCCACATACTCCTCCCCTAAGACAACATTAACACTTTCTTGTCACTTCGGGCAAAAAGTTGGCTTAAGGGAGGGGTAGGTGGGCAGTTTCTTAGAAACCTGTTATGATCCCAACCTTGACTATACTTGGGTGAGGTGCCACGTACACCCAATCTCTTGAGTCCGTCATTGAAACTGAGTGCCGGTGCGTCACTTTGTTTCAGCTCCCCATTGCTGTCAACAATAGGGGGATGATGGCTCCCGGCATTACTCTTTCTTGCTACAACTTCAAAAGTTACGTGTCTTAACTTAATTCTTGAAAGATCGACAAGGAAAACACGACACTCTGAAGAGCAAAGAAAAAGTGGAGGAGACGTTAGAGTCTGGAAAAGCTGAAGCTAAGGTAGTCTTGTGCATCCTTACTTTATAATTTTTTCACTGCACTCTTTGATCAGTATACAGCCAACTCTCACGTAAGCGACCACCCTTGGAGAACGACAAGTGGTCGCTTACGGGAGGTAAGTCGTCTACGGGAAAATCAAGCAAAAACAGCCAAACCGGACTGATTAACGTACACTCTTTTCTTTTTATAAGAATGTTGTTTTTTTAGGCTGAATATGCTTATCTTTCTGCCGATTTTAGGCTGAAAATATTCTTGTATTATTCTTAAATTGTAGCCTCTGACTTTTCCGGTTTTGAATGTACAGGAGTATTAATTGCAGTTAGTGACAATGGCACGTTGTTTTGCTTTTTGGTGGCTAGTTTTGCAGTTAAGAGAAAGAAATAATTTCAGTTACAAACATATAATTGTATTGTATTAACAGATTTTTAACACACAAAATTATATTCATTTCAGCCTTGGGTTATCATATTCTTGAAATTTTGCAAACTTCAGCCTCGCTATTCTTATAAAATATATTCTTATAGAAAACAAAAGAGTGTACACATATGTTATTCACCGGCTGGGAGGTCCGTATTGGGAGAAACTGTGCCCAAGGTCTTAAGTACGGCCTCGGGAGGTACTCAGACCGAGGGCACAGTTTCCCCCAGTAAGGACCGACCTAGGCCGGAGAATAACATTTTTATTTTTTTCCTACTGAGATTTAAAAGTTTAAGGAAAATTTTCCTTCACTCTCCAACCTACACAGTAATTTTCAAGTTGTCATAATAACTCCTCTAGTGGGGCTAATTTAACTCCTTACAGTGGAGTTATTTTTTGGGGAGTTAAATCAACTCCGAAAAGGAGTTTAAAGAAATCTTTTTCAGGAGTGAAAATGAACCCAGATATTGAGGAGTTAAAATAACCCCAAAAAAGGTGTTATTCTTACAGCAAACATGCAAAACAAAACTTCAAACAGAGGAATTATTAAAACTGTCCAATAAACAGTGCATAAAAGCAAGATTGCAGACTAACAGCGCGGTTATAAAGCTCGTGAAGCGACATCACGAGCCACCTGTTTTGCTTTACTTTAACTGTTTTCGTAGCTGACTTGCTTGATTCTTCCTTCAGATTTTTTGTCTGAATAATAAAATTCACTTTTCCCAGCTAATGCTAATACGGAAGAGCGCAAGTTTTAAGAGAAAAAAGGTTTCAAAATGACGGTTTTTGTTCACTCACAAACAACAAACAAACTTGTCAATGAAGCTGCCAACGACTCCGCCCGGGTTAGCGGGCAAGATCGTAAAAAACCGCCCGCTTTCGGAACCAATCAAATTGCAGGGTTTGGAGGATTCCGTCCGCTCGCAAGCTTAGAAAAAAATAAATAAGCTTATTAACTTACAAGCTAAAATTAGGCAAATGGACAACTGGCAAATATATTTCACATCGAATAGCGTTTGGAACTGTTGAAACTTTGTACATAGCATATTGCATTAATGTTGTAATTCACCTCTTTTTCCTACAGAACGCATTTAAGCCATCTTTTTTGTAACTTAACTGCTAGAATCTGTCACCTGAGCACGCGTGATCACAGCGCAATTGCAAGCTAAATTTTTGTGAAATTTTAGTAATGGTTTTCTAAGACAATCATACGTGATCATGCCGAGTGATCGCTTACGGACGACGGAAAACATTCATTTATTCATTTATTTTAGTTTGCCATTAACCAGAAATACAACAACAGTATACAGAAATACATTAAAGATTATATACGATATTCCAACTAAATTATTTACAAGATCAAATGTGATAAAGACAAGAAAGCCTATATAGAAGCCGAAGGCTTATAAACCATACAAGTTAAGGGTACTGAATGAAAAGAAAAGAAAAAGAATATGTCAAATTTCTGGCCTAAAAGGTAGTCGCAGCCAAATAATATAAGTAATGGTCGCTTACGAGAAAGTTTTTGAAACTTTATTTGACTAATGAAAAACAAAACGATTTTTTTGAAAGTGGATGCTTGCAGGAGATGGTCGTTTACGAGAAGTGGTCTCTATGACATTGTTGACAGTATAACATGCACGCCAACGAAACAAAGTGAGAAATTTAACCAACGGTTACACTTTTCGATTCCATCAAGACTAAACAAAACCAAAAAAATGGATCAATATCACTAATCAGAAGCTACAGACATTACCTTTTGACCCTGTTGAGGAAGGGGTTTTTTTCTTGGGACGTTCGATCCGTTAGGGAAATTTACTAAAGCGAAAAACATAAACTTTTAGGGCTAAATTTTACTTAGGAGTTTGCAAGTTAAGCGCCACAGCTTTGCACCTAACTTAAACACAGATTTACTAAAAAGTAACTACAAGATCGCCGAAATACGAATCAGATAAAAATCATAAGAAAACCAACACAAAGTGCCTATCCCTTTAAAACGAATGATGTATCACAAATTATCTTCAGGACAGAACGTTTACGAGTTCAAAGATTTACTTGAGAGGAGTGTCTTATAAATTACCGATGTAAATGTTGTTTTCCCAGTGGTCTTTGGGTAATATCAAACAGATATTACACAGATTTGAAAGAGTGAACGGCTCAGTAAAAACAAAACAAAACCTTCGGGTTCTTGACTCTCCAGAAATCAGGTTACTCTATTGCCAATTATTTTAAATTCGCATTTGCTATATCTCGCCCCTTGCTGGATTCTGAATTCCTCGCTTTGGATTCCCGGTTCCAGATGCTGGATTCCGATTCCTTGTCAGTGGAAATTGGATTCCGGATTCCAATCGTTAGCGGGATTTCAAATTCCTGGAGCTGAATTCCGGATTCCAAAGCCCAGGATTTTAGATTCCACAAGTAAAAATGTTCTGGATATCCTGGATTCCGGAATCCAGATTATCTTACAAATCACCATGTCTTTAGTCTCCTCAGAGTGAGCCATTGACGGATGAGTTAGCCTCCAGCGGACCAGCTAGAGAAGTCTACGCGTATGAATTCCTTGGCAAAAAATATCTCGAGTTAAATGATTTGCAAAAAGCCTTAGAGTACTTTCAGTTAGACCTTGGTATTGCTAAAGAGTTAAGAAACAAGACAAGAGAGGAATATGCTTGCAACCTTCTTAGTGTTACTTATGGCTCTCTTGGTAAACTAGATAGAGCCATCGAGTTCTACGAGAAATGCTCTCCGCATCGCCGAAAACATAGGAGATAACGATTCAGAAGGAAAAATAGCTTATAACCTGGGTAATAATTATGTTTTTCTTGGCCAATACCAAAAAGCCGTTAATTTTTTTCAAGAAGCCCTCGGCACTTGCAAAGCCCACGGAGATAAACTAACAGAAGAAAAAGCATACAATAACCTTGGAAATACGTATCATGCTCTCGGTGACCTTGCAAACTCCATCGAGTTTTACCAAAAGGCACTAAGCATTTCCAAACACGCTAAAGACAGAGCTGCAGAAGCAAAGACATATAGACCTTGTCACGGTTTTCGACGCCATCTTGACGAGTAGGCAAACGCGTGAGAAATTACAGTGTTTGTATGAGAATCTAATGTCGAATAATTTCCGTAGAACGGCAATTCTGAAAAAAATATCTATTGTAAACTAAAGCTTCACTCCTAAGGATTCTCCTGAAAAAATTTGAGGGCGTTATATGCACTAGAAGACCTAGAACCACTTTTTACAATTTTCTATACATTTGTCTGTAAGAAAGTCCCGGGAAAATTACAGACAAATATATGGAAAATCTAAAGCAAACCTCTGGAGAAATTTAAGCAAGGTACACCCCCCAAATTTTTTAGGACAATCCTTTGCTTTGTAGCTTTAGTTTACAATAGATATTTTTTTCAGAACAGCCGTTTTACGGAAATTGTTCGACATTAGATTCTCATACAAACACTGTAATTTCTCACGCGTTTGCCTACTGGTCAAGATGGCGTCGAAAACCGTGACAAGGTCTATTGGAACCTTGGTCATGTCTACAGATCTCGTGGTGAATTAAAAGCAGCCATCGACTGCTATGAATTGGCCGTCAGTGCTTTCAAAGAGTTTGGAGACATTGCTTCCGAGGCAATGGCTTATACCAGTCTTGGTAATTGTTACAAATCTCTCGGTGAATTCATGACTGCTGTGAAGTATTACCAGAAGGCTCTTCGTATCGCCAAAAAAGTCGGAAAGAAGCTTTCGGAAGGATCGGCTTATGCAAACCTTGGGGCAGCTTATTGCTCTCTAGGAGATTTCGAAAAGGCTATCGATTTTCTTCAAGAAGCTGTGATGTGCGCCAGGTCCACTGGTTTTAAGGCTTTAGAAGGGGCGGCATATATTAATATAGGTAGTGCTTATTGTTCACTCGGGGATTTTGAAAAAGCCATTGAATTCCTCCAACAAGCTCTAAACATTGCCATAGACACTGGAGACAAATCAAGAGAAGGAGGGACTTACCACCTGCTTGGAAAAATTCACTCCTCTACAGGCGACTACAAATCCGCAATCGAGTTGTTGCAGCAAGGTCTTTGTATTGCACAAGAAAATGGGGAGAAATATGAAGAAGGGCTAATATATGGAGACCTTGGCTTTGCTTATCGCTTTCTTGGTGATATATGTAAAGCCGAAGACTGCTTCAAGTCAAGTGTAAAAATATGTGACAACCTCAGGGACTTGATGCAATCAAAAGACGAGTGGAAAATCTCATTCAGGGATCTGAATAAGAGATTCTACAGTAGTTTGATAGTCAGTCAGTTAGAGCAGCATAAGACGCTTGGGGCACTTTTGACTGCTGATCGGGGACGCGCACAAGCATTGATGGACCTTATGGAGTCACAGTATAACGTAAAAACTACCTCCGCGATACCTGAGATGCAGGCGGAAACCATTTCATTCATTTCCTCGCCGACAATTTTTATGGCACAGATCCCAACCTCAATCAACTTTTGGGTACTACAAAAGGGACAAACAATTGAGTTCGTGACGAAACAAGTAGACCGGAATGCTTTGCAATCTTTGACGGAAGAAGTTTTCAAAGAAATCGGTGTCTTCCAAAGCGTTATGTGTGAGAATCGATCCCTTGATGACCCAACAGATGAAGCCACAGAAGATTTGCCCGATGGGAAATCGGACGAGTCAGGATTGAAATCGACTGCTTCCAAGGATAATGCCTTATCAGCATTGTCGGAAGTGGTTTTTCGGCCGATTTTACACTTGACACATGGTGACGAAGTTGTGATTGTCCCCGACGGTTCATTGTTCCTAATCCCTTATTCTGCACTTCTGGACAAGCGTTCCAGATATTTGTCCGAAACGCTTCGAGTACGACTGATGCCTTCACTTTCTAGTCTTCAGCTTATGGTAGAGTGTCCGCTAGAACGTCACAGTACGTCTGAGGCACTGATTGTTGGTGATCCGTGGGTGAAGAGTGTCCGCATCAGAGGTAGCAGCAGACCACTCAAGCAGCTTCCTGCTGCCAGAAAGGAGGCGGAAACTATTGGAGAAATTCTGAAGACCCTTCCTCTAATTGGGGAGTACGCGACCAAAGCTGAAGTGTTAAGCAGACTGAACTCTGTTTCCCTGGTACATATAGCAGCGCATGGTAGTGCGCGCACAGGAGAAATTGTTTTGTCTCCTAATCCTACGCCGTCTAAGAGACCCGGGGAAGAGGACTTTCTTCTGACAATGGCAGATGTTCTTAACGCAAAATTGCAAGCTAAACTGGTTGTCTTAAGTTGCTGCCACAGCGGCCTTGGGAAGATAAAAGCAGAGGGTGTGGTGGGTATCGCTCGCGCATTTTTGGGAGCTGGTGCACTTTCTGTTCTTGCATCCCTGTGGGCGATTGATGACGACGCCACTTTGGAGTTCATGATGAGATTCTACGAAAATCTCGTGAAAGGACAAAGTGCTAGTAAATCGCTCAATATGGCCATGAAATCCATGAGAGAATCAGAGAGGTTCAGTGCCGTGAAATACTGGGCTCCATTTGTCCTGATCGGCGATGATGTAACGTTGACGTTTGAGTAAATACAAGGTATTTTTTAACTGACATTATTTATCCTTACCAGTCAGATACGAAATTCACTGATTTTACGGTCCCTTCGCGTTCTCTTACCGTAACGTACTCCCCAGCCGAGAACAAGTTCTAGATTTTTTCATAGCATCTCTAGCTAGTGTCCTCTGCCATCTTTACTTCCACTCCAGCAACAAAGTTATAACCCCTATTTATAAAGTGTCTTTTCATGTTAACTGACACATTAGATGTCAATGCCACCGTCACTTGTCATCCTTATGGTGTGACTAGTTAAGACCCAGATTTCATAATCGATCAACAGAAACATCGCATTGGCCCAATCGATCAATCATTGATCCTAATCGCAAAAATTCCTTCAATAATTAAATTAATAAAATAATTAATAATTTAATTATTATTTTTTTACTGTGCGCAAGTCGACGTATTACACACTGAAGAGTAACCCAAAAAAATTTCTAGACTTCAACGGGATTCGAACTCATGGCCTCTGTGGTAGCGCTGCAGTGCTCTACCAATTGAGCTATGAAAACCAATACCTTGGGAGCAGGCCAATTTGTTGAGTTCGTCTTAACCAGTGAATGGAATGAAACAACGAAGGTGATGTGAAGTGCGGAAATACCGATTTAAATGAAGATATGGTCGTCGCAGAGGTAATTACAATTTAAGCAATTGCAAATTAACCCGAAAACTGAAAAATTTCGGGACTTCAACGGGAATCGATCCCATGGCCTCTGCGTTAGCGCTGCAGTGCTCTACCAATTGAGCTATGAAGACCAATACATTGGGAGTCGGGCAATTTGTTGAGTTCATCTTAACCGGTGAAGTCCCGAAATTGTTATAAAAACCTTTTTAAAAGTTCTGTTGCCAGGAACTTCTGTTTTAAAGCCCTTTAGAGAAGTGAAGGAAATTTTTTAATCTGAATTTGACTCTAGCCTTCCAAGCAGGCTTCTTAGGGGTTCGTCACGCGTTCCTGCAGGAACGCGTGACGAACCCCTTAGAACGTCTGCGTGGGATATATCGGATAGGCAGAGTGAACAGCTGTTCCGAGAGAGAATAAGGGGATAGAGAGAGAAACTTGAGATATGTGAATTTCACCAAAGTTATTTTTAGGCAAAATAAAAGCTTGAGATCTGAAGTTGGTTTCCAGAGAGGTCCGCAAACTTTTATTCAGTGTTTCAAGAGAGAATATGTGACATTATCCTCTCTTGGTGTGTCCATTACAATATTGTGAATTGTTTGCTTTGAGGCAGGCGCGTATGGACTTGATGATATTTTAAATAATTAATTAAATTGTGCTGATGTCCAAGGAATTTGACTTCCGTTTAATGAAAACCCCTAAAATTAACATTAGTGAATTTGACGCATCCCGGCCAACGTTCTAAGATTCACTCTCTGTTCCATTAATTTCTCTTGGGTCTTCTCATCAGGCCGGAGTAGTTTTCCAGTCGATTTTATAAGCCAGGGGCGGTTCCAGGGGAGGCCCCTCCCTTAGTTTTAGACCAAACTGAGGCCCGAAGGGCAGAAAAAGTTTTTTTTGAGACCGCCCCCCNGAGAAACTTGAGAAATGTGAATTTCACCAAAGTTATTTTTAGGCAAAATAAAAGCTTGAGATCTGAAGTTGGTTTCCAGAGAGGTCCGCAAACTTTTATTCAGTGTTTCAAGAGAGAATATGTGACATTATTCTCTCTTGGTGTGTCCATTACAATATTGTGAATTGTTTGCTTTGAGGCAGGCGCGTATGGACTTGATGATATTTTAAATAATCAATTAAATTGTGTGATGTCCAAGGAATTTGACTTCCGTTTAATGAAAACCCCTAAAATTAACATTAGTGAATTTGACGCATCCCGGCCAACGTTCTAAGATTCACTCTCTGTTCCATTAATTTCTCTTGGGTCTTCTCATCAGGCCGGAGTAGCTTTCCAGTCGATTTTATAAGCCAGGGGCGGTTCCAGGGGAGGCCCCTCCCTTAGTTTTAGACCAAACTGAGGCCCGAAGGGCAGAAAAAGTTTTTTTTGAGACCGCCCCCCCCTCCTTATTTGAAGGTCTGGATCCGCCACTGTAAGCTATCTGGTATATAATGTAGACATACACAAAGCAGTGAGAATTAAGTGTTCATTTTAGCTTAAGGGTGGACAGTTTCCCAGAAACCTAAACTGATCCCACAAAGCTTATGACAAAGGACAAAATTCAAATTGTACCACGTGACCAACCTTTTCCTATACTTGTTATTTACTGTTTTTTATATAAATGTCATCATCATTATCGGTCGACCGAAGAGCAGTCGACTGTAAGGCGTCTCCAGCTGGCTCGGTTTTTGGCAGTGCGCACGATGTCATCCTTTTCCTAGCATAGGGAAAGGCCACTGCGGAGCCTGGTCCCAGGCTATCCTTTTCCAGCCAAGTTCAGGAATGGATCGACTCTAATAAGCATTTCTTAGAGGGTGACATATACATGAAAATACACAAACATGTAATTACATGTCAAGTTCAACCACAAGAATTAATTTGAAGAGTTTTTATTCGTTCATTTCCTATCTCATGAAATCGTTGACGTAAATCTGGCGTTTGCCGTTAACGCGAAACTAAATCTCTCAAAAATCTGTTGTTTCAATTTTATGCGTTAACACAAAAATAATTGAAATATAACACTAAAAAATCTAGTATCTAAAGTAATCTAGTACAACAAGGCAAGGCTGAAAAACATTTTCAGGTTAGAATAAGGGTGCGTTCGATTGATCGTTTTCCGGAATAAGAATATGCAAAAGTTTTGTTACAAATTTCTTTTACCGTAATGTTTGGAACATTAGTACAATTTAAACTTTATATACGAAATAATATATTTTATTCCAGCCAAAACAAGAGATATCTGAATACTATCAATTGAACCTGCCCTAAGTTTCATCATTATATGTTAAAATTTGTTTAGCTGGTCAGAATTAACTGAGTCAGGACAAGATAGAGGAACCCAACGACTGCTTTCTGTAAAATATCTGTTTGGAGAAGCTAATATTGCCAATAATTTTCAATTGCTTGAGGACGGCCAAAAAAAAACTAAATCACCGTTCCATTCATGTACACATGGGGTGAAGCTCATCTAATAAATTCGCTACGATTTTCTGAAGTTTAATTTCACATTTCATTTCCCAACTTAGGCTATTGTTCGTAGAAAGAAGAAAACCTAAAATTTTTCGATTTCAGAAATTCGATGGAGAGAGGAATCAGAAAATGCCTCACTTTTCGGCACTTTCGTAACACGTTAAATTACATGTAAATGCTCAAAATTCCCTGGGATGACCGAAGAGATACAAATTTCATAGCGCCTAGCATGCATTTCTAGAGATCTAAAAGTACTCTGGATGGCCTAAAAAGTGTTTTCAATGTATCTAGGAGGACTGACGTCGTTAGGTGCCCCTGACAAGAATATAGAAAAATAGTGTAAAATGATTTTTAATATATTTCACCACTGCAGTAGTTAAGTCAAACTGCTTTCTTGTTCGTGTTGTCAGCAAATTACAGTGGAACCTTTGTTTTAACGAACCTCTATGTAACGAAGTTCTTGGTATAACGATCGATTTTCTTCAGCCCGGCCAAAATTACAGTAAAATGTATGGAACAGAACCTTGATTTCACGAACCTCTATATAACGAAGTTCGTGGTGTAACCGATCGATTTTCTTCAGCCCGGCCAAAATTACAGTAAAATGTATGGAGCAGAACCTCGATTTAACGAAATCCTCGTTATAACGAATACAATCCACAAGCGAAAACGTAAAATTAACCTCGATAGAACAAATAAATGTCAGCAAGTGATAAACAATGAATGTCAAACAGACCAACAAGGATAAAATTTATGTGTACAACAGTTTTAAGCAGTTTGTTGGCCTGTTCTTGAGTTTCTAGTGCCGTAGCTATGTATAGCACGGTACCTGAAATGTATAACGAACAAATNTTAGGCTATTGTTCGTAGAAAGAAGAAAACCTAAAATTTTTCGATTTCAGAAATTCGATGGAGAGAGGAATCAGAAAATGCCTCACTTTTCGGCACTTTCGTAACACGTTAAATTACATGTAAATGCTCAAAATTCTCTGGGATGACCGAAGAGATACAAATTTCATAGCGCCTAGCATGCATTTCTAGACATCTAAAAGTACTCTGGATGGCCTAAAAAGTGTTTTCAATGTATCTAGGAGGACTGACGTCGTTAGGTGCCCCTGACAAGAATATAGAAAAATAGTGTAAAATGATTTTTAATATATTTCACCACTGCAGTAGTTAAGTCAAACTGCTTTCTTGTTCGTGTTGTCAGCAAATTACAGTGGAACCTTTGTTTTAACGAACCTCTATGTAACGAAGTTCTTGGTATAACGATCGATTTTCTTCAGCCCGGCCAAAATTACAGTAAAATGTATGGAACAGAACCTTGATTTCACGAACCTCTATATAACGAAGTTCTTGGTGTAACCGATCGATTTTCTTCAGCCCGGCCAAAATTACAGTAAAATGTATGGAGCAGAACCTCAATTTAACGAAATCCTCGTTATAACGAATACAATCCACAAGCGAAAACGTAAAATTAACCTCGATAGAACAAATAAATGTCAGCAAGTGATAAACAATGAATGTCAAACAGACCAACAAGGATAAAATTTATGTGTACAACAGTTTTAAGCAGTTTGTTGGCCTGTTCTTGAGTTTCTAGTGCCGTAGCTATGTATAGCACGGTACCTGAAATGTATAACGAACAAATTTCCCCAGTCCCTTGGCACTTCGTTAAATCGAGGTTCCACTGTATAACACAACTTAAACATCTCAGACGAAGAAACGTCTCTGGAGTAATTTACACGGCCATTCCTATCAAATGAATAAATGATAATAAGGTAATGGTGAATTGGAGTGTGATGGTCTGGTGGGGTAAACTAACAGTACAACTGACAAATCGATTAAAATTTGACTGACAACCGGACATTTGATTTTGCTTTTACTGTCAACTA